CCGGGGCATCACTAACAGAGGATAAGCGGCTGAGAGCAAAGGGAAGAGAAATAAAGCGGGGGGATGAACGACGTCACAGCGCGGGCTGATTTATGGGGTTCGCAGCGCGGAAGGGTGGATGATACTCGCACGATCCACATCTCCATTCGCGGCTGACCGTCTTCCAGGTGCCTCTGAGACACCTCGAAGTGATTCTTACACGGAGGATCGACGTTTTTCTAGTCGATCAGAATTATACTACAATCTATGCTACATTCGCGATTGATAGTGATAGGGATAGAAAATTTGCCATTGCATTTAAAGGTATGTGCCTTGTACTATTAGCTTATCCATGAATTCGTGCCGAATACTTTGTCAATATTTAATATTTACCAAAGTAGCATTATCTCTAACACAAACATTTTAAAGACACGCGTGCAATAATTATGCTGTAATTAATCATTGGATGAAGCTATTTACGTTGGGAGAGTATCGATAAAATACATCTGCAGCTCAAAACCCCGAAGAAGTGAAATAAATTCGCAGGATCGCGACGAGTCCAAGCGTCCAAGGAAGAAAGTTGAAACGAGAAAAAGTTTCTTGGTAGCGAGGCGGAGTAAGGGTGGAAGCGAAACGCTGGCCACACGCGATCCCCGTAACGCGATCGTTAAACGGTAAAGATAGAGTGGTGGGCAAACAGAGTGAAATTTCTAGCGAGGATCGTTCTTCGCGCTGGTGGGGCAGGCTAGCTACGAATCGGTTAGCAAAGGTCGAATGGTCGACGGAGGGCTTCCGCTGAAACCGGACCGTTGATCTTGGGGATTCGCCCCTGGATTACGTGCCGGGTCGAAACTGGTCGGACGATCTTCCTCGCCTAGGTCTTGGCCCCGGATTCGTAGGTCGAAACCTATTGCTTCGCGGAGAACTCCATTCGAAAATCTCGATCGGAAACTAGGCGAATCCTATGCCGCTCCCGAAACGGCCCCGTAACCGAACGTAACTTCCAACCCCTTCGTTTCCGCATGAATCCGCGCCTGACCCCTCGGGGAATTTAGCAGCGAGGCTTCTCGAAAATTAATAATACTTTTGCCACAAGTTTGTGTCGAAATAGGATTACTGAGGTTAATTGTAGCGATGAATTTGTCTGCCCTTTCTTTAAAAAATTTTAAATATATAGTAGACTCTTTAAAAAAAAAAAAAAGAGAAACTACTAAATATTTGAATCTCTGATTTATACGTCCTAATGTATTAATTTTAATTCTTCAAATCACGACAAATCTATTCAAAATTCCGCGTGTAAAACTTGATTCCTATTATTCCACTGAAAATCTGGACCGAGCGCCCTTTGAAATTTTACAGCAGGCCGTCGTCACCTGCGGTGGCGGTGTTTCGATTAGGGATCAAGGGACCACCCCGTGGTCGAAAATTTTATTCCAGGACGTCCAGCGTCGAGGTCACAGCTGTCGAATCGCAGAAATAGAGTCGACCGAAGACAGACCATAAACTCCACGACACTCGAGCTTTTTCTTTATCGTTCGCGTCGAGGTCCCAGTGGTCGCGTCAAGCATTATCCGCGCTGAAATTCGATCAACAATACTAGACGACGGGGTGGAGGGTGGTTTGCAGGTTTGCGCTGCGTTCGCACAATAATTTGTACTTGACCAGAGAGTCGGGGTTTGCGCGTTTACAGAGATTTAATCATTATCGTTCCAATGTAACCGGATCTAATCAGATTTATAGTTAACACGCATAAATCTGATTAATTGTAATTACCGTAATTATCGGTGACCCCTCCCCCCTTCCTCCCCTGTGGTTCATACGCGTATAAATCACTCGCGAGCGTTACGCCGCGGCGGGTTCGGCTTCGCGACGCGATCGAACAATGAAACGTCGCCCCGCGGTCAACACCGGAAACGCAATGTCGAGACCCCCGATTCTCCCCTTGGTAACCCTCGACGCGCACCTGAAATTCGCCAACAGCAACAAGCGAAAACCTCCTTTGTGTGCGCTGGCCGGCCTGGAAATCGAATTCCGTTATTTTCTAAAATTTGATTCGAGACTACCAGCGATTCGCGGCAGCTGAGTTTATGTACCAAATGAGAACAATCGAGCCTACCAACCCCCTCGGGCGGCAACTTTTTTTTGAGCGGAAAAATCGCAACGTTTTCAACAACCAGACTGATCGATCGTTAAACCTCGAGGTGTGGTCTGGTGATCATCTGGAATATCTCTGTTTAAACAGGGTTAGCATGATTGTTTTTTTTTTTTTTTGTTTTTGAGACGGTCATTCAAATAACGGCCCTTCGTTCGATTAAAAAATTCATTCGATAAGCGAACGTTCTGTGCCACAATGAGTCGACGCATTATTTGAACACCTCTTGATGTGGGAAAATGTATCCAATTTTTTGAGTTTCACTGATTGATTTATTTAGTGGCACGTCCTTTGTCGCCCATGTCGATATTTCACTCTTAAAAAATACCACCGAAAACAGCTTTCAAAACGCGGATACATTTTATCTAGATAGAACCGCCGGTCGCGTCGCATTAAATCGTCCGACTCTCTACACTTGAAAAAAATATTTCCTGTTAGTTTGGAAAAATTGGACCTTGCATATTTTATTTTCTCGTTTATCGCGGACTAGCGTAGAAATTTATTGCCGCTCGGATAGCGTGAATCGTTTTTTGAAATACGACCAGTCGATTAAACAATTACGTAGAATCCAGCGGCGTGTTCGTCAAAATTTTGTACGTTATTTCGATTTTTATTACTCGGAAAGTAATTGGGAATTTTGAGATTCTCTCTTTCCTAAAGTAAGCCAGCAACACGAACTTATAGGATGACCTAATACAATTCTGTTCCTGGAGTGGTTAAATTGTAATGGTCGTTGGAAGCTGGTATGAAGGCCTTGTATCGACTAGTGATGTTTCCCCAATGACTTAGGAAGGGAGAGTTTATCGAGTGGAATCGCGTTGTCGTCGTTAACGGTGAACTACGAGTGGAAAACGCGACCGTGTTCGGATTAACCCTGGAGATCAGTGGTTTCCACGGAGCCTATACTTCAGCGGGATCGAGAGCTCGGTTAGACGCCCAGGGGCAAACGGGGTCAGGAAGGTGGTCCCGGGTCAAGATGCCGATTAGGATCTCCAGGGGTCACCTTGCGAAGTCCGACCTAGCTCTATATACCTGCCTCATAAATTATGTCCGTTTAAACACATAGTTCCCCTATGAAGTAACTATTCCAGGAACGATTATGGTAGGGTTCAGTCTGCTCTGAAGAAGGAATCAACCCTTTCGTTAATTGCATTCTCTGGAACCCTAATTATAATACGAAAACTCAGTTTTCCTAGACTTCCAAAGCAAGCAAACTCTGTTCTCAACAATTTCGTCGGAAGATTTCCTTGTTCTTTTGTTGTTTCAATTAACCGTATTACCCGCAGTATTGCCTTAACATTTAGACAAACCCAAAGCTCGCGAGAACAAAGACACTGGAAGAGTCGACAACTCTGTCTAATAAAAGCGATTCTCGAACTAGATGTGATTCTCTGCTGTTTCCGTTACGCGCGTTCTGGGATTCGTTTCCATCCCCCTAGATTCATCCCTTTCTTTAAAACGCTGACTCGCATTTACATGGTAGTTTTGATAGAAGAAAGAGGGATATCTTAACGTTTGGTAATAGCGCCAACTGTCTGTACCGGGACAATTTCGTGGACGCCGCAGTCACCGGTCAGCACTTTATTGCGTCCAGTGCGTCAGCTTCCAAGCGCGTAAACCCTGATGGTTCGAATAATCTTTGTTCTATAAAATTCTCCAAATTTTTCTAGACAGAAAATTTATTTTCTTTCCAAGCAGAGGCATTATTATTTCATTTGAAAAATTTTTGGGATCGCAAGCAACGCGATATAGTGAGAAAACAAATATCATCATTAATTCGACGGCTAACATTTATTCGAACAAAGGTTCCAAGCCGTGATAGCCGCCGTAAGCTATAAGAGGGGACACATAATGAATGTTTGATAACAGGACGCGACGAAAAGCGGCAGTAGGATCGCGCGTGTGTCGTTTACAAGGACAGGGGTTACCAAGAGGGCAGGTCGTGTGTTCAGCTACGAGCATAGTTCGCATACCGACCCTTCCTCGCATGGTATGTTATAATTAGTGCGCCAACGAGCACACGCAACATTGATATGTCCGCGAGCTTCCGAATACTTCCCTAATGAGATGGCTTCGTAAACAACGGGATAAGTATTCGCGTGTCTATTCAACCTGGCCCCCACCGATCCTTTTTCCAACCTACACCGAAAATATTCGATCGCCGGCGCTGAAATTGTCCCAGAAAATCACGGCGTGTTGATACCTTTTTGATAGAGTTAATTACAGGTTAGTTAGACACAAGTGCATCCACTAAACGTGGTACAATTAATCATTGTCAATTCTCAACTTCTCTTTTCAAATATGCTACCCTTGGTAGTCTTTCTAGATTCGCAAAATCGTATTCCTCTAAAGCTCGTTTACGGAAACTTTATTCCACGCTTCCTGCATATTTTCCCGCGAAGGTTTCCCTAGTCGCGCCGCGCTGCGTATCCCGCAGGAAATTGCTTGTCCAGTCGGCTTCCCAGCGAATCGAATCAGCCCTTTGATCTCCAACTGCTAACGCTGTAAATAACCCCCGCGGTGGCGGGACTTGCATCCAGAAATCCGATTATTATGACGCGTTTCGAATTTTCATAAATACGCAATTAACGTGACGAAACGGGAGCGCCGCTCCCGGCGCTCAATCGGCCTGTCCGCTTTTGAATTCAAATCCTGCGCGAGGACTATTAATTTTATCAAACTCGGTTGCATACGAACCCCTCGACTTGTTCCCTCCTGTAAATCTTGAGTCTCTATTCGACTAATTTTTAATAAAGTGGATAGAAATTTGAAACGGAGAGAAATGAACGACTTCGTAAGTGTAACAAAAGTACTTTTTTTATATCAATTAGATATATTCTAACAAAAATTCTTTCTTTTTCAGGTGAACGCGATTGAAGAAGTTTTGGAAACCACTTGGCTGGAGATAGGCGAGGCAACGACGAAAGTGTGAACGGCGCGATGATCCTGAAGGAAGCGTCGAGAGACGAATAAAGGTCGGACTACAGCGCGCCGAGAGAGACTCGTAGACCCGTTCTTATCATAGTAATCGTTACTTCGAATGGCTTACGAACTGGTAACGCGCGGAAAAACCCGCTCGGTGTCGCTTCGTACGTGTCGATGGCGCGATTTCATTTAAAGGGACTCGCATAAGGCTCTGAAATCCCCCATTACCAATACCCGAGGTATGGGTAGAGGATTCTCGACTTCAATTTTACAGAATGGGGGCATCTGTTGAAAATTATAATTCGATCAACAAGAAACAGAGTCCTCCGTTTGGTAACTGTCGCGCGGTTACTTCCACTCTCTCGTCTTTGAGGTTGCCAACGTCATCATCGCGTCTAATCGAGTCGTTTTGCTTACGGCACGGAATCTTGGATGATTTATCGATCTTCGCCATAATCGTGGCAATCTTGCTCCCTAGTTTTTCAATTGGCGCCAATACCACGGACGAAGGACGTCAATTAATCACGCGGCCCGTTGAAGTATGCGCACACAACGATTCCATCCGAGTTTCCGACGGTGCAGTTACGTTGATACGCGAACAACACCTAGGCGTCGCAACGGTTATCAATTATTCGCCGATAAAGCTGCCAGAATCTCGAAAGCAAGCCGCCCCCCTCGTACCCGCGTCGCGGTATCCCTTCAGCCGCCGATTGAAATTTATCGACACGCTATAATTACGTGCCAGGAAGTTGATTGTGCGTCGCTGCGATCCTCATTAGGCGTGTACGCTCAACCGCTATAGAGGACCCTGACGGACGCGACGTTGCAGTTGTCTCGGTGAACCTCGATGACACGTATAGGTGACTGCCATCGACAGCGATTAAACGATCGACTTCAGCCTTTTCACTGGTGGGATGTATGAATTCACTCTTTTCATTGTCAGGTTCACAGCTTGATACACCACGTGTAGCATATTTCACAGTGGATGGAGCTAAACGGATCAATTCAATTGTCCTTACAAAGGTCAGAACAAAAATTCTTACAAAAAGCGGAAAGAGAAATCTTGGAACGAAACTAGTTTGAATTAAATTTTCGAAAGTTGTCGAGAACCAGGAAGAGGTACGGAGAGATCGAGCAGTGAATTCGTAGCCATGCTATAACTCGCGACAACGTTGATCACGCTTGACTGTTTCAAACGCAACCGCAACCTTCGTCGGGGAACCATCAAAACATCGTAAATATTGATTCAGCCATGCGCGTAATGGAATACGAATGAACAAACTGCAAGGAAAAACAGCATCCGTGCTATGGCAACACTATACACGGGGTGTCGCCTGAATAAAGTCAGGAATAAACAAGGAAAAACCTCCAGAGTAAAATTTGATTAAGAGACGCGTGGTCTTCCTAACTCGAGCATCAACCAGTGTCATAAACGTGGATGTGCAATCAGCACTGCTTTGAAGTTCTCTAGCTTCTTTCTCAATATATCCAAGGTGAGATTTTCCCATTTAACCTGACACTACCCTCAGCCGTATAGATGAAACTTCCCTCGAGGATAAGGTTTAAAGACAGACGCTCCATTAATCGTCAAGAAACAGTTCTCTTCCCGCGTGCGTCCGGAATAGTAGCAGTAGTATTGAAAAACGATCGCTATCGGATCTCGCGGCCGACGGAGCACTAGCCCGTGCAAGTTTAATTGCGAAACTTCGCCAAACTATCGCGAATTACGAAAAATATCGAAAAACCGTGGTAATATCGCGCTGTCCGTCCAGGCTGGGGCCATTCTATTTTTATCCGCCGTTTGTTGGCGTGGCTATTCGGCGGACAGGAAGCAGCGCATGTACGTACGCGGGAACAGGAAAAGAGCCCGGGACAGGACGAGGAGGGCTGGTGGAAAGGGCAAAGGCCACAGGGCAGAAGTACATGCGTGCGATATAGCTGAGCCGGGGATAAGCGTTTTCGAGTTTTATTTGCTCGCCGTCGGGGAACGCAATGTTTGTCTTCCGTGCACGGATATCTCGTTGAAAGTATCGAAGGGTTTCAAAATACGGATTAATCGTGGGTTACGTGGTGGGCTTATTTGCTGATGCTACGTCCGCGACGGGAATGAAAATGGGAAACGTGTTTCCGCGACACAACGCGGTAAAGGATAAAACGCAGCGTTGGATTTCATGGATATACGCGGAAGAATCGGGTCTGCCGCTGTTTGCGTTCCTTCGACTCGAGTGGCGCACTTCAAACCGGTGCCACGGCTGCGACAGATCACTGACGCAAGCTGGAAAGTTTTCTAATCATCGTACGGTGTTTCTCAGGCGTTTCACTCTTGCGAAGTCATAATAAAGCTTTTAGTTTACCGGCGAGGCACTAAGTACTTGGACCTTTTTGATCCATCGTGTTCCATGGTCTAAAGGCGCTTTATTTATGCGAAATTCGATCGCGAGAACTCCTCGAAAGAGCGCCAGCTTTAATTACGCCGACCCGATAGAAATTATCGCGCGAGAGAGCCACCAGTGTCCAATTTAAATCGGTCCGCTCCGAAGTTCCCGGAGAAAAATCATAACGAGTAATCGGCCGTGATAATTGTCAATTAAGGGGATTCGTGTCTCGTAGGGATTGTATTTCATAAGAAATAGCTTTCAGGATGGGCTTTTACCGTGCGGCTTGAGCTCACTGTCTCATCATCTCGCGAAGCGAAAAATTATTCCGAACGATGTAGCGCTATATTTAAATTCAGACGGCCGATTTGCAGGTTCATTAAGGGAAATTACGGTGGCGCGATCGAGCGAAATAATTGTCAATTAAAACGTTTCGCGCCCGCATCGATCCGTCCGCACGAACGGAACACAGTTGGACCGATTAGTGAAAAATTATATTCTCGGAACGGAATCGTATTTGCGACCCTACATTCTCGCCCCTACCGGCATTTTTTTATGCGACCATGGTTTATTTCAGCGAAACTTTGGATCTTTTGGAATGTATCAATTGGCCGACTTTGCTGGTCAGCCGCGGGAAAAGTTTGCTGGAAATTTGGTCGGTGGGTAAAGGAAAAACGTGGCCTTCGCGAGGAGAATCCCTTTACGATTGCCTTTTGCGGTGCGTTATTACGGCCAACTCGGGAACGGCGAAACATCGCGGGCCACGTCCAGCGAAACGGAATGCAGAAAGGAATTTCGAGTTCGAGTGGCGAGGGCCAACTGGCCAGCGAACAGTGACGCGCATTTAATAACGCCGACTGGCCTGTATTCCGCGTGTCATGGCGCGCCACTGGCTCCTGTAACGTGGAAAAGAGCGCGATGCACCGACCGCAGTTTACTGCATATTAGTCGTGGAAGTTACGAATTCCTTGCACGCCAACCGTTTCCCCAACCAACGAGGAATCGAAGCCTACAACGAGCAAGTCTGCACAGATTCCTATCGCTGGGTAAATATAATTTGAAACTGTCTCTTTTCAAAGAATGGATTTTTAGTTTCTGTATTTGGAAGACGTTTCTTCCAACAGACCTGAACAGTTCTCGATGGCTATCTTTTGGCAGTCCTAACGATAAAACGAGTTACTCACGTGTAAAGGGGCACTCCAGCCTCGTCTTTGAACCAGAAAACCATGTGCAGGGTGTCCTCTCCCGGCGGAGTGATGTCGCATGGCAATTCCGCTGGCTTTCCCTCCACGACGCTGATATTCACCAACGGAACTGCAAGCAAAACATCGATACTTAATATAAATTTAATCGCTTTTCTAACAAGGATTCCTTTTCAGGAATGTTTTCGACCATCAAATGGCCCTTGCTCGGCAAACATGTATCATGGAACAAATAGTTTGCAACGCATGCAGTTTCTAGCCGACCCTTAAAGCCCCGACCACCGGCTGTTTACGTTCGATGCAATCAGACGTATGTTCGTACATACGCGCAACACAGCAGTTCAAAGATTTGAAGTAGATCAACGTGTGCACTGTCCACAAACGCGTGGCTCCGGATGGTTTCAACTCAAGAATCTATCGAATGTACACCAAATGATGTTCAACAAGCCTGCTTGGTTGATGTTTTAGAGACAAAATTGAAGGTACTTTTGCTACCCTCACCTCTCCTGCTAAAAGTATCAAAGAAATCCTTGCTTTACATGGGGATTGTGGGGAGGACGCTTGTTTATCGTGAAATAACGGGCAAGCCTTTGGTGAGGTTACGACGAGGAGATGCAGCGAAATGGCCAGAATACCCGGGCGGAGTTCCTCGATGCCGGAAATCCAGATATTACGATGCGGACACAATCGAAAGAGGACGATCCTCGGCAGCGATATGTAAAGCGCACTCGTCCCTGGATTAAGAGATCCGCTTATGAAATTCGGTTCCGGCGGGATGCCGTAAACCAGCCGCAGCATCGTGCTTGCGGAAGACGATCCCCCTTGAGCGGGTAAGTGGAAAGCTCCGGGGTCTGATATCGCACGGAAAAGGGCAATTCCTTTGGGAATTTCCGGTAGGCTATTCCGAAGAAACGAGTTTCCATTCGATTCGGTCCGCCGCCTTCGTTTTCTCCGCGCTGGACGACCGAAACAAGAATCGAAGCTGCGATCGCCCGCGTCGGGAGACTTCGTTGGGACTACTTTTTTGTCGCTGATCTATCCGAACCGAAACATCCTCGCGTCTCGCCTCGGCGAACCTGGAATCTTCGACCTTGTTTATCCAGAAACGCCCCCAATTTCTGACCATACACGAACAATGCATGGAACTTTGGCGAACGTTGGCACATGTGCCTTCGGTCACACCCTGCCACCAGCAAGACACCATTCATCATTGCAAACGTATTCGTAACGCGGTACGTCTTCCCCATGTTAATCTGTGGCAGAGATAGAGCAATGTCGGGGGTATTTGCAACCCGCAGCCCCGCAACGACGCTCGACAGATAGCTTTGGATCACCGCCGTGAAGATTTCTCGCGAAAATCCGAGCCGCTGCTCGGGCAGCGCGAAAGAGACAAGCGCGGGGTTTAGCATACGCTTCGTATTTATTTCGCGGCTGAACCGACCGCGTCGGATATAAATATCGCTTAAGGGCGACTCTTTATCATATAAACGCCCCATGGTAACGGCGCTCATTTGAATTCGCAGTTTTTGCCATGTCGTAACGGGCTCGAGCGACGCGCAACAAGCAGTTACTTTACCCTGGTGGCTGACGGCTGTTTGGTGGCTTGTACGGCAACGGTTCTTACTTCCAGCGGGGAAACAGAAACAACCCCCGTCGGGAAGATATTCTTTCCCGGGATTCGTTATAATTTCATGCCAGTATTTCGTTGGTTAGCCGACAATTTAATGTTTACTTTTTACCGAGGGCCCGGCTGCTGGAATTTTTCATAACCGTCGCGCCTCCTTCCCTTGGAACTGGCGTAATCGGATTAGTCCCGCGCTGCTGGCATCGCCGCCTCCGGCGCTACGAAATTAACTAAAAAACTACACGGCTTAGCCAAACGACCGCGAAATTAATGACGGCCCACGGCGGGATCCCCGACGACAGACGACGGACGTTAACGACCTTACCTTCAAATATTCTCTGCCGTCACTCCTCCTAGGTCGAAAAATTTGTTTAAAGGCCTTTGTTTCGTGTATTCTCAAGTATAAACAAAAATTTAATAATTCCAATAATAACCTCTTAGGCACGATGCGCCTACTGTAGTGGCTTTTGCGGATGTCATCTTTCTAAACAGGGTGTCTCTAAATATATGTATCATATCTTTAAGAAAAATTATAATTTAATCATCAGGAACTTGATTTAGTAGACTTGAAAATATGCAAATCAAACGCCTATAAGCAGATTTCTCGTTAATTTCATTATTCAGTCAGAAAAGATTCTCAAAGTCACCGTAGGTCCTCCAACATGGGGTTCTCTCTCTACCAAAATCGTAACCGGAGAACGCCTCTGGCAGCAGCGATTTTCCACGAGAGCAATAGGGAGTCCAGGTTCGCTCTGTCGATATTACTTATGTAGGCGGCGTTTCCGCGCGGCTGGACACGAAAGCGACCTCGGTCGCGGCCATCGATCAGCCGCGAGCAGCGCGCGCGTGTCCGCGTGTAGTTTAAATACCATGGAAGCCTTGAAAGCCGTTTCGATTAATGGAATTCCGCAACACGTCCGCAATTAACCCTCAAAGACCCGAGGCGCTGCTCGAATCGTCCGGTGGCGCGCTAATGGCGGACTCGGGGGCCCGCGTCGCATTCGAAACGCATTTAATGAATTCGTTATCGACCGGAATCAACGTTTGCCTTCGCGTCACGGACGCCAAGCGAAGACGACGCGACCACACCCGCGAATTTGCATTCACAAAATTTTCGAGGGCCCTCTAAAAATCAACGCACGACCTCCTAAGACTTAATTCGCGTCGCAGCCGACTGATCGTTAGCCCAGGTTATTCCGATATTTTTGGTGGCGTTTTCTCGAAGGAGATATCTTTTTTTGAGCTAAACATTTTGGTAGAAATTTATATTCCAATATCAATATTCGAATAGCAAAAGAAAACGAGAACTGCTCGAGTCTGGTCCCACTCGGGCACACGACGCACGATGCTCGCATATTTCTTGTTCCTACACAATAGTGGGCTTATTACATCGGTAACAATTTCATCGAACATTGCGCTCAAGTTCAGCAAATTTCGGAAAGATACACGTTGAACGTACGTTCCACGGGCTTGATTAAAATGAAACGTTTCCATATTGTCGGCCGTAGCGAAACTTTCGATGCAAACTTGCAGCATCCCCTTCGCTACGGTTATGCACGTTGGTAGTGATGGGCGTCGTTAAGCCAGACGGTAGTCTCGGAGCATGAAAATATCATAAAGACGGGGGATAAGACAGCTTCGAAGCGCGCGCCAAAGTCGTCGTTACGCCCCCGATTCGACGGCGTAAGAGCCACGCGATCTAGTCTGCTGGAGCATCGAGTCACGTCGGTTTCCAGTAAAGGAACGATCAGAATCGTTGGATCGATCCAGATCGCGATCAATCCGCGTCATCGAGGATGATTTATGAAAATACTTGGTTTCGCTGTCGTGTCGCGGTGATCAACAACACGACACAGTTTTGGATGAGTTCAACCCGAGAAGTTTGACGGTAGACGCGACGGAGTTCGACGTCTACGGCGAACTTTCGTCTTTTTTTTTCTCCCCCGTGACTCTGGAAACTTTTTCTCAATCTTCAGCGTGCCACGTGCGTCACTAGACCTTAATGGAAAAGAAGACACTCGAAGAATCTTGAAAAACAGAGAGCATAAGGTTGTCTACGGATTTTTCCTACAGACGTCTTCTAATTCAAGAAAAAAGGAGAGTGCTTTATTTGATGTGTGCTAAATTTAAGAAAAATGGTCTTGGATTTGACTACCTGTATATACCCATATTACTTGGAGTGCAAAGGGCTAATAAACAAATGAATATCGACCAGCTACGACTCCCATCCGAGCTACACACCTCAAATATACTAGAACAAAAAGATCGGACGAGTAGCTCGAGAGACCATCCTCCAGCAAAGATGTAGAGTGGTCGTCGCGACGTCGAAGGGATAATGGGGTACGAAGCAAACGTCGCGATCGTCGGTGCTCGAGGTGGAGCCTTGTTCGCAAATTAACTCGAGCAGGAAGATCGGCTGTTAGTCGCCGTTATGGCGGCAATTCGCACGGTCGGATGAATGCGCGACAGAACGTGCAAAGAGACTCACCCATCCCTCTCCGGGAAAAGGGGAAAGGATAAGACAGGAGCGAACAGCGAACCCGTTATTTACGGAGAGTCGAGTGTACTCGGTGCCCCCTTCCGTCGTTCCGGCAAGTTTCCCGTGGAAGGTCTCCCCAAGTTGGCCGACCGTTTTGCTCTCGCGCTAAGCGTATCAACGGCGCCCATTGTCTGCGCTCATTGTCACCCTTCGTCCGCTCCGCGTCTACTCGGCGCGGCCGTGTTAACTCGAGGGGTCTCGCCCAGCGAATTACAAGTCGCGTTAATCGGTTCCTTAGTTTCTTGCAGGTGTCCTTCCCCCTGTAACGCGAGATACGACCACGGACCCGTGCAAGACCTAGGATCGCTCCGTGAAACGGGATCTCACGCCAAAAAAGGCATCGCATTACCTTGAATGCCGCCCTTCGGAGTTCTTGAAGTATCATGGTTGTTTCGCTACCTTAGGGCACTCTCAGACTCTTTGGGAGGGTGATTTATTTAACTCTTCATCCTGTTGCACTTCAATAGACATACACTTCAATTTCTTCAATAGACATAGAGGGTATATTTATGGGATTGACTGTATATTCTCTGTTAACCGTTCGAGTGGTATGGATGCATCTCTGATGCTCGACCTCCCAAAGAAAATATTACTCCAATAATTATAGCCCAACCGAGTATAACAAACATCCTTTTTCATCCACTTCCGCATCGAAAATCTCTACTCCAGACGGTCCCGTTTCGCAAACTATCATCGAGTCTAGCGACCCGCCGGCAGTTCCCATTTCTCCGAGCGTAACTCCCTCGTATTTTTGAATGGGGGTGCGTTCGCCCGATCGATTTGCCTCGTTGTAAAAGCACGACGAAGGAGAAGACGGTAGGAGCGATGGATTCATAAACTGCGCCGACGATGCAGTCTTTGTCGCCGATTCCGTTGAATCTCCCACGGAATCAGGCGCGGAATTTCGCGTTGTTCCAGCAGTCGAAACCTCCTGGAAGGCGAAGAGAGC